TCCCAATCGCACGTGCCAGCAGAGTGCGCCCGCAACGCCGCGATCTTGCTGCGGTGGTCCCTCGCCCGCGGCGGCGGCAGAGGCGTGGCTCCCAGGGAACACCTCCGTCGAAGCGACGCTCGGGAGGCAAACCGGGGGCCTCGGCCTCCGCGCCGCGCATCGCGGCCGTGAGCTCGGCTGGGCTGGGCATCGCGGCGGCGCGGCTGCCGCGGCCCCGCCGGCAGCACAAGCGGGGGTGGCGAAGGCCGCGCCCCCGCAGGCAGAACTTCGGGCCGCCGCCGCGCAGGGCGCCGGCCGGAGGCGCGCCAGAAGGGCGGCCTTGCGCCAAGATGGCCACGAAGTGCAGGCAAGGGTGACCTTTCGGTGCGCGACTGTCGGGCGGTGCGGGGGGGGGGGGGGGCAAGCTCCCGACCTGCAGGACGCTGCTGTCATACTGCAGGCAGCCATTGGGCCCCCCCGAGGCGCCCGCACCCAAAGGTCCCTGCGGCGAGAAGTCACTTCTGCGTGTGGCCGAGGCTCCCGGGTCACCTGCCTCTTAGCGCCCCGCGCCCCCCGCGATGCGCGGCGCGCGGGTGTCTTCGCACCCTCGCGCTGAGGCCAGACCGCGGCGCGCCGAGAGGGACCATCGCCGCCCCCCCGCGGGTGACCCACGGATCGAAGTCTGGGAGGCTTCTGGGGTGCTTCTCCTTCTGTGTGGGCCCCCCCGTGCGGGCTTCTCGTCGCCGCTGCTGGATTTTTCTCGATGGGCTGGAGAGGACACACTCCAGGAGAGGCCGGCCCATGGGGAACCCGGTTGACGCTGCTGGGGGGGCGGCAGACATCATCTCAGACCCCCTCGCGTCGCGGAAGATCATAACGGGAAGGGTTCAGCACAGTTCGGCGTCTGGGGCCCTGACCAGTCTCCGACCCTCAAAGATCAACTCGGGATGAGCAACTAGTCCTGGGGAAGGGTGTCGAAACCTTCAAGGGTCCATGCTTTGAGACAGTCACGAGGGGGGGTCTGGGCCACACAAACCAACTCGACAACGTCGTTGACGTCGTCATTCGTTTTTTCGGCTGCGCTGACAGCGCTGCATACCAGTCGGACGAGTTGAATGAACAGTTCCACGGGAGGGAGCCGTGCAAGGCCCGGACAATTCCGCGGCTCGGAAGGAATAAGACTTAGCAAAAGCAAACATGCTCGATGGCTGCTTGGAGACACTGGAGTTCACAGAGCTGCCGCAGTCGACCAAACGACCTCCCTGGCCGTGCTGGTACAGTCTGTGACACGCGAGCCCGTGTGGTGAAGCAAGACCTGGATCACAAGCCGATCGGGCCACAACTCTGGCCACAAAGTGCACGCGCTGCCCTGGCTCGACAGGCCGAGCCTCGCAGATGCTCTGGCGCGGCGCCGAGCCAACGAGCGCTTCTCAGAAATCCTCTCCGGCTGCCGCCCCTGATGCTCCTCCTAACTCTGGACGCGGGGCATCGGACAGCGAACAGCGGCGGGTGTGCTCGGACCCGGGCTCGGGCGCAACCGCTGGGCGACTCAGCACCTCACGGCCGCGGCGCCCCCGGGGCGTGCGCACACCAACTGCACAGGACGCGCTGCAAGAGGCGGTGCCGGTGCGAAGATGCTGGCGAGAGATCTGTTGAAATGATTGGCCTATTGGCCGCGGGCGGAACAGTATCGACATCCCAGGCCTCGCGGGCTGGTCCGCTGGGCCGCGACCCCACGGATACGGTTTTTGCTTGTTCGCGGATGCCCCGCACGGAACACATCCATGCGACTGCGCATCCTCGGGAGCACGCCCCACTAGTCCAGACCGCGTTGGCGTTGATATGGGACATGCTCGCCGCTGGTGGCGTGGGGCAATGAGCACGAGGGATAAGTAATAGGGGAGGATGGACCCATACCCCCGACATCGTGATTTCTCATGACGTGGACCGTGGACCCCACGAGGTCCGAACTCCTTCCCAAGAAGCGGCATCTCACTTTAAGTCTTGTTTCACACGATCCCCAGGGCCTGGCGAAAGCCCACAGAGGCAAAAAATTGCAAGAAGCCTTCCGTCGTGATTTTCCCACGGGGCGGGAGAGGGTCTGGTCCTGGCTGGGGAGGGAGCCCTGACCCCGATCCGCCGTATGATGGGCGATTTCGCACGTAGCGCCACAAGTTCCATCCAACTTTGCGAGTTTCTCTGCTGTCGATTCCCGCCCTACCTTGCCGTCACTGTCTCCGCCGCCCGTCCAGCCGTGGCGACGAGGAGGGCCCCCGAACGCCGAAAGGCCTCGAGCCTCGGTCCTCGAGCTTGACTCCCTCCAGGCTGCGGGGGAGGCGGGCCGGGGGCGCGCCTGCGACGCCCAGGCTCGCGGACGCTGCCCGGTGCCCTCACAGGAGCCTCCTCCGCTCACCGCTCTGGACGTCCGACATGGGCACGGAAGAGCGTGGGCACGCTGCTCAGCAGCACGTGCTGTCCAACACCGACAGCGGTCGCTGGCGGGCAGGCGACGCTCCGCCTCGAAAGGATGTAACGTCCGCGGCGACACCGACAACGAGTCCAACTCAAAAGGGGCAGGGGCTGCTGTCGGTCTCCGTCCCCGTTCTTTCCGTAGCCGTGTCGGCACTTCAGGACCGAGGGTGTGCTCACGGGGCCGCGGGCGCGGGCTCGGCCACGGCGCCAGCGGCCGCGATCGGGTCCTCGTCTTCGTACACGCCGTACAGCCAGTCCCTGAACTCGGCGTGCGTGAGCTGGTCCTTGTCCTCGGGAAGGTTTACGTAAGAGTACCTAAACCGCGACTCCACAGACCTCTCCAGGGGTGCGTTCTGACCCGGATTTCGAGGTGAACCCAGCAGTGGCGACGAGAGCCTCCCAGGAGGCCCCAAATAACTTGAAAACGACACAAGGGTACCTGTTGGGGCACTGTCTTTCTCCTCCGAGTCCTCTCCCGGGTCAATCAACATCCCAACCCAATGGCGCGGAGCGCCCCAGGGGAGCCGCCAGAGGCGGCGCCGCGGACTACTCGGGAGGGCTGCTCAGGCCAGCTGGAAACACCCGGGGGGCCTGTTGAGGACAGCCGGGACACCCTGGCGGGGCTGCCTGTGCGCAGCCCGGAGCTTTACCACAAGGGCGTTAGTAAAGGGGGGGTCACAAATCAGTTCACGTACTTATCTGGTCCTCGCAGCGCCTGGCTTTCCTGGCGCCTCCTGGCGCCAGGAACCGCCCTATATGTATATGTTTCTTCGGTACATATATATTTACACACAAGACTACAGTGGCGCTTCGCGCCATGCACCTTGGTCCTTGAAGTTTGGCATGCAGGCGGAATAGCAGGAAGCTCAAGCCGACAATTTAGCGATCACTCCTGGTTGCCTTTTCTGGCATCGCCACTATAATCATTTTATTCGCTATCCTTCCTCCATGCTTATTTTTCCTTCTTTTCGCCATGCCCTGCGCATTCTCCCCATCCTCCTCAGCTCTTTTTTGCGGAGGCTCCTCCTTGGAGAGCCTCTAGGGGCCTCACAAAAGTTGTTTCAGGCTTTCCTAAGGCCTTCTGGAGACCTCCTGGGTGTATTCTGGGGGCCTCCGGGGGCTTCCTCGGGTCACCCTGCCTCCAACCGCGGTCTCCCTGAACGACCGAATCACGATTTGGAATTCTTCGGAGGGTGTCTTTGGGCCATCTTGGGCCGCCATGGGGCTCTCTGAGGGCCATCTTGGACCCGTGTTGTGCCGTTTTGGGGCTCTCTTGGACTGCCTGAAGCCCTTTCGGATGGTTGTGGGGCGATTTTGGAGCCTCCCAGGCGGCTTCGGACGCCCAGAAGACCGCCGTCTTGGAGCGTCGGGAAGCCGAAAAGAGGAGAACCCTAAAATTCACAACAACAAAAAAAACGCAGAACATCAATGACTTTTGCCTCGGGGGCCTTCTTGGGAGTGCTCTTGGAGGCCTCTTTGGGGCCGTCCTGGAGGCCTCTTGGGCCATCTTGAGGTCACGTCGGTCACTCTTGGAGCGCTCTTGTACTGCCTTGGGGGTCTCTGGGACGTCTCCGATGACCCCCCTGATCGTCCTAGGTGTGCTGGGAAGGCTTGGCAAAACGCCATGTGAGGCCCGGTGGCCGCTTCGAGGCCGGTCTGGAGGGTTCCAAAGCCCCAAATCCCGGGAGTCCGGTTTTGGGGGGGAGTGACGGATTTTCCCCCCGCCCGGGCTTATAAAAATATAAGAAGAGGAATGAAGGGAGCCGCAGGGCGGTGGGGCAGAAGTCAGCTGCACGCAGCCGTTTTCGTACCCCTCCCCCTGCCCCTACCGCGCCTTCTCGTCCGTCCCGGTCCTCTGCCAGGCCGAGCAGCATGTCCTTGATCTCGAACTCCCTCTTGCCCCACTTGCGGAGCAGCTTCGCGGCGTCGTTCCTGCTGAGCTTTCCGTCCTCGTCCGTGTCGGCCTCCTTGAACATCCTCTCCAGCTCGACCTCGTCCACCAGGCCGACGACGCGCACGCAGGCGCCGGCTGTCCAGTCGTAGGTGTCGTACAGCACGTCCTGCGTGAGCTTGGTCGCCATGCCGATGAGCGGCACCTCGTGGATCTTGGCCGGGTTCGGCAACGGGATCTCCGTTTCATTGACCTCGATCGTCTTCAGCCACGGCCTAGGCGGTTCCTCCATCAGCACCTTCTTGAAACCTTCGAGGTCTACCTCCTCGTGCTCCATGCCTTCGATGGCCGCCTGGACCTGGCTTTCGGGCCTGCCAAGCTCCCAGAGACACTCCGCCACCTGCGTCTTGTCCAACTTCCCTGCCTTTGTCTTGTCGACTTGGTCGAACGCTTCTTTGATGTCCTTATCGGTAAGAACCTCGGGCTCCAAGTGTCGGAAAAAGCTGTTAGACAACGGCATTCCCACGCAGGGCACGTTGTGCCAGAAGCTGGGAGCAAACTTCGGCCCTCGCATCAATACCTTGAACTCGTACAGGTTCGGGTCCCTTCCGTGGAGCTTCTCGAGGCCCTTGGCGATGTCCACCTCCGACGCACCGAATTTCCGCAGCACTGCGGCGACCTCGTCTTTGTTCAGCACGCCCTTGCGATCTTTGTCCATCTCGAAGAACATCTTCTCGACCTCCCAGTCAGCGGGGTCTCGGAAGGCGTTCTTGGTAGCCCGGAGCGACCAGTCAATCGGCGTGGCCACCAAGTCTCCAGTGGTGCAGAGCACATGTCCCAGCACGGGCACGTCCAACACCTTCTCGTGATTGGGCAACGGGACGCACCCCACCTTGTAGTACCACGGCCTGCGCGCCCCCGTGAACAGCTCCTTGAAGCCGCCAACGTCGACCTCCTGGCCCTCCATGGAGTCGAGGAGCTTCTGGATCTGGCGCTCCGATTTCTTCAGCTGGCGGCACGCATCGGCCACGCCCTGCTTAGTCAATTTCCCGGCCTTCGCCGCGTCGGCCTTCTCAAAGGCCGCCTCCACCCGCAAGGTCGCGTGGAATCTACCCAGGAATGCGACGTGCCCCCGAAGTCCCAACCCCTCCCTCAGGACCGGTCTCTCCTCCCGAGTCCTGTTTCGACGGTCCCGAGGCTGGGCGAGGGCCTCAGGAAGCCGAAAACCACCCAAAACCTCCCGTCGCATTTTTTATTTACGCGAGCATGCCTCGAGCTCCTCCACCGTGGGAGCGTAGCAGCAGTTGTCCACGACCGCCGACGTGAACGCGCCAGCCACCGGCATGTCGTGGACCCAGCTGTAGCTCGAGGGTGGCGGCTGCTCCGCCGCGGGCACCTCCGCCGCCTTGGCGGGCGCCTCGCCCGCCTCCGTTGACGCGGTCTGGCCCATGTTTGGGTCAGCCCCTGGGTGGAAGCGCCAGCCGCTGAAAAAGTCGTGGGCTGGCCTTGGGCCCAAATGGACACGCACGGAGATCGACGTCGTCATCTCGAACGCTCTGGGGGCGCTTTTGGGCGGTCCTCGTCGCCACCACTGAAGCTTTTGGTCCAGAGCAGATTCTGAACAGGGGCGTGGTGACACCTTGAGGCCTGAGGCCTTCGGAGGGCATGCAGAGGCCGAACGTCCTGCGCTTGAGGGGGCTCTTCGTCGTCGTTGTCATCTTCGTCCTCACCACCTATGCGCCCTGGGATCTTTCGTGGCCTCTCGAGCCCTTCTGGACACAAACGGTGGAGTGTTCTAAGTCTTTGGGCCTAGAAGCTATCTTGGAGCCCTCCAGGGCAGTCGCTGGTCAGTTCTTAGGTCGTGTTGGGAGTTTATTGGGGTGCTCTGAGGCTTCACAGAGCCACTGAACGGCCTCGTAGCAACCCAAAGGAGCAAGAGAGCTTCAGAGAGCCACCGTGCCATCAAAGCCTCATGGCGCGCCCACGAAACTCTCCATTATGAATCGCAGTGTGGTGCCTGCGCTACGCTGTGAATGTCAAAATGGTTCAACGTAGATGTTGCTGCCCGTCCCCGTCCGCCTAAGATGGCCTCGCGCAAACCTTAAGGCGCCTCATAATGGCACCAGACGCTCCCAACTGAACTATAAGACGGCGAACCAAACAATTCCTCAAGAAAACTCAAGACGGCCTCAAGACCCACCCCGACGGCCTGGTTCCGCCAATCCGCTTCGAGGGATCTCGGTGGAACCATCAAGGACAAGACGTACCCCGAACCCGTGAGAGGCGCTGAACAAGCCCCCAAGCAACCTTCCAAGAGTGCCCTATGTAGGAGGTCCTCTAAAGCTCCCAAGAAACCTCAGAAACCTCTGATCGCCAACGCAACACCACGCAATGTCACGGCCAGGCCAGACTGCAATTTCCAAACATGCCCAAAGCCGCATGACTACTTTCACATCGCGCAGTGCGCCTTGATGTTTACATGCGCGTCCGAATGGCGGCGCAATCATCTATTGCACTCGTTGTTCGAGCATGCATGTTGGGACTGGCCCGAGGCATCTCCTCCTTCGCCTCGCCAGTGGGGCAAGTCACATGCGTCTTCCGCACAGCCAGACGGGAGCGGAAAGTGCGCGACGCCTGCTAGGCGCAGAGTTGGGCCGGTGCACGCGGAGGCTGCACCGAGCGTCTCGAAACATCTTGGTACTTAGAATAACAATCCCTGGGCAGAGGAGTCACCGCAAAAACGACCCAACAACCCGGCGCCGTCTCGTCCAACATGGCTCTGATTGGGTTGCGGTGCAACAACCGTGACTCTTCAGTCGGGAAACAAGCAATGACATAGACATAAAAAGTCGGAGGTCCGTGCGGATCTCTTGGATCGGCGCTGGGCCACCCCCTGGCGCGCGGAGCCTCCGGCGCTGGAGGCGCCGCCAGGGGGCCCCGGCGCCGATCCAAGAAATCCTTACTTATTCAGGCACGCTGCGCTGCAGCTGAGGACGAAAGAGGGCCGAACTGCACCGGACACGACCGAGGGGCAACACGATGCTGTGCAAGGGGGCGCGGGCTCGGGGAGGAGGCAGCGGCCTCGAGTCAGCGAGGCACCGCCGACAGAGCGGCGATAGGCCCCGGGCAGCAGGTCCGCACGGTCAAGGGCGGGGTGCACGGTTTCCCCCGGGGCCGTGGGCGACCCGAGGAGGAGGCGGAGGAGAAATCGGAGGAAGAGGAGGAGGGGAAGGAGGAGGAAGGAGGAGGAGGAGGAGGAGGAAGAAGAAGAGGAGGACGGGTTGCCGAAGCCCTTCGGAGAGACCCTCCAGGGCGGGGTGGGCTTTCGGGTCGCCATCGGCGATCAGTGGGCGATTGGGGGCCGATGCATCCCCCTCTGAGCCTACCTCCCCTGGCGTTGCCCCCGAGCTGCAGCCGAGGGCAGACATTGAGCAGGGACCGACCGTCCCGATGATACGATAGGCCTGCCACGAAAGGTTCTGAGAAACTAGCAATGTTCGGCGAAGGCCTGCAGAACGTGTTAAAGAAAGGCTGCCTCAGCTGTGAATGCTCTAATAACGTCCCATACAAAAAACACGAAAGGGCTCCTCGACGTCTTGGTGGGCCTGAAGGCAGGCCAGGGCGCCTCGTCCATGAATGAGAACATGACCGACTTACAACTCTGGACGTCCGAAATGGGTATGGGAAACAATTGTACAATGTCCAACAACAAATGTTGTCCCAAACCAACAGCGGCCATTGTTTGGCAGACGGATGTGTGTGTGTGTCTTTAGTGAGCAACGTCCGCGGCGGCGCTGTCAGCGATTTTCTTGGCGATTATCAGCTTCAACATGAACAGGAAGTGCTGTTGGGTATCGTACCCATTCTTTCCGTACCCATTTCGATCGTCCCGAGCAAGGAACACCACGCCTCTCTCCTTCTCAGTGCGCCTGGCAGGCAGCGAGCGGAGCGGAGCGGAGCGGAGCGGAGCGGAGCGGAGCAGAGCGACGACGGGCGCGCGGCGCGTGGCCATGGGCGCGCGAGGAAGCCACAAAAGCGGAGGCTCGCCGTCGCCGTGGTCGCCGCCGCTGGGGCCGCCAGCGCCCGCCGCGGCGGCGCCCGCCGCGGCCGCCTGGCCCGGCGGCGGGTCGCACGGCGGCTGCTGGGCCGCCGCCGGGCCCATGGCTGATGGCTGGCCCGCGGGCAGCTCTGGCCAGACCGCGGCGGCCGCGGCAAGGCTCGCCACCTCCAGGCCTTCGGGGTCTGGCGGCTCCGCCATGGGCCCCGCAGCGCCGGCCTGATGTGCGCGGCGGGTGCCGCGTCGTCGTCCTCGTCGTCGTCGCCGTCGCCGTGGCCGCCAGTCGTCGGCGTCGCCGTGGTCGATGTCATCGCCTTCGTTTTCGCCGGCGGCATCGCGGATGGCGTCGGCGTTAGCGCTGGTGTCGTCGCCTTCGTGGTCGTCGTCGGCGGCGGCGTCGTCGGCGTCGGCGCTGGCGTCGTCTTCGTCCTCTTCCTCCTCCTCCTCCTCCCCCACCACCCTGTGTTCCCTGCCCTCCTCCTTGTCCTTATCCTCCACCTGTGGCCCATCAGGAGGGAGGGCGGGAGGGAAAGAGGGAGGGAGAGAGAAAGGGTGCCAGAGTACAAGGAAGAAGAGGGCAAGAGGGACGGGAGGGGAATAGATGTCAGGGGGGAAGTGAGGTGGAGACGATGGGCAAAAATCTGGTGGAGACCAGCTGAGTGGGGCAGGGGCTCAGCTTCGTAGGCTGGCTGGTGGGAAGAGACAGCACTGTCAAGGAATGGCGGAGGAGAGCTGAACGCCCAGGCCTGTGGCGGGCTTTTAACCCAGACAACAATGCTGCAAATGAATTGCGAAATGCCCCCAGGAAAATATCGAGAACTCAGCTGATGCCACTTGCGCCCTGCTCACGGCAACGCAACTGAGGTTTTCTTCCTGAAGCACCTGGTCACGCGCGGCAAGCGTCCAAGAAACCGTCGGCGCGGGCGACGTCGTCGCTGCACGACGAGACGCCTACTGACAGCACGGCCCTTACGAGAACCCTACTGCTGTAGTTCCTCCTCCTCCTTCTGTTGTTGCGCTCCTCCTTGTCCTGTTTCTAGCCCCTCCTCCTGCTCGTCGTCCTTCTCCTTCCTCCTCCTCCTCCTCCTCCTCCTCCTCCTCCTCTCCTCCGTCTCTCTCTCCTTCCTTCACCGCCTGCTATTGCCCTCATTCCTCCTCCGCGGGCTTCTCGTCCTCGTCCTCGTCGCCATGCCGCTTCTCCTCCTGCTACTCGCTCACCATCATCAAAACCGAACGTCTATCAATGTTCCAAGAGGCTCCTCAACCCAACATGTTGAAAAAAGCGACTCGCGCGTGGCCGCGCCGCCACGGAGAACCCCTACAATGGAGAGGTTGCGCGAGCTAGAGCCGTAGAGCTAGGGAAACAAGAGACCGATCACAGAGCCGGATAAGAACGATGAGAGCTAACATACCGCCCGCAATTAGACGTAAACGCATGAGCAGATGACGTGTCGGAAGCCAAAGTCGGTAGCCACGTCGGGCAGACATCGGAAAGTGCTTGAAGCCCCGACAAGATGGAAAGGGGAAGGTTATCAGCGGCGGAAAGTCGGTTGCCAGAGCGGTGCGTGCGACGCGGGCCTGTCTATTCCTCTTCCTCTATTTTTGCAAGCCCGGGCGGGGGGAAAACCCGTCACCCCCCCACAAAAAAAACAGACTCCCGGGATCTGGGGTTTTGGGACCCGCCGGACGGGCCTCGAAGCGGCCCCCAGATCCTCGCAGGGCGTTTTGCCAAGCCTTCCCAGCACACCTAAGGCGATCAGGAGGGTCATCGGAGACGTCCTGGAGACCCCCAAGACAGCACGAGAGCGCTTCAAGAGTGACCGGCGTGACCTCAAGATGGCCCAAGAGGCCTCCAGGACGGTCCCAAAGAGGCCTCCGAGAGCATTTCCAAGAAGGCCCCCCGAGGCAAAAATCATTGTTTTTTTCTGTTGGTTTTGGTGAATTTTGGGGTTCTCCTCTTTTCGGCTTCCCGACGCTCCAAGACGGCGGTCTTCTGGGCGTCCGACGCCGCCTGGGAGGCTCCAAAATCGCCCCACAACCATCCGAAAGGGCTCCAGGCAGTCCAAGAGAGCCCCAAAACGGCACAACACGGGTCCAAGATGGCCCTCAGAGAGCCCCATGGCGGCCCAAGATGGCCCAAAGACACCCTCCGAAGCATTCGAAATCGTGACCCAGTCGTTCAGGGAGACCGCGGTTGGAGGCAGGGTGGCCCGAGGAAGCCCCCGGATGCCCCCAGAATGCGCCCAGGAGGCCTCCATAAGGCCATAAGAAAGCCTGAAACAACTTGTGTGAGGCCCCCGGAGGCTCTCCAAGGAGGAGCCTCTGAGGAGGATGGGGAGAATGCCCAGGGTATGGCGAAAATAATGACACAGAAGCATGGAGGAAGGATACCGAATAATATCATTATAGCGGCGATGCCAGAAAAGGCAACAAGGAGTTATCGCTAAATTGTCGGCTTGACCTTCCTGCTATTCCGCCTGCATGCCAACTTCAAGGACCAAGGTGCAGTGGCGCGAAGCGCCACTGCAGTCTTGTCTATATATATATATATATATCTATATATAGATGTGTCTCTCTCTCTCTCTCTCTCGCTTTCCCTCTCTCCCCACCTCTATCCATCTCTCTACCTCTGCAAACCTATTCATGTTTCTCTCTCTATCTCTTTCTCTCCCTCTCTGTGTATATCTCTCTCTCTCTCTCTCTTGCGCTCTCTGCCTCTCTCTGTCTGCGTGTAGGGCGGGCAGCTGCGAACGCACTCATACCAGAGCGTCCTTCCCTCACCCATGCGCCCCACAATCTCTTCATCCCCGCTCTCCTCCATGCCTCTGCCCTCCTGCCTCCCCATTCCTCGCACCCTCTCTCTCTTTCGCTCTCTCTCTCTCTCTCTCTCTTTCTCTCTTTCACCCTTCTCCCTACTCCCCAGACCCCCACATCCCTGCCGTCCCCCTTCACTGCTCCTTTCCCTCCAGCGCTCTCCCTCCTGCCCCTGCTCACTCTCCTCCTGGCTCTCCTCCCCAATCTCCACTGCATCCGTGATCCGTCCTGAGATTCCTATATGTCCCCCCTTCCGCCTACGGGTCTACTTGACTATGCACTCACGATCAAACTCAGAGGCTTTGACGGTGCAAGGTGCATGTTTGTATCGATGTCCTACAAGCCTGGCAGATGCTAGACACGAATTGGTCATACCTGCATCCTGGCACGCCGTTCGAAACAGCGATTGAGCGACTGCAAGGACGCATGTAATGAACCATATTTGCGCCTGCACAGCGCCTCCAGCGCGCGACGGGGCGGGCAGAAGCGAGGACTGGACAACATGTCTATTGGAGCGGAGGCAGGACTAGAACGGCTTAGGTGGAGCCGCGGCGCATGCGCGACCGCGCACCGAACGGCGCCCTCGCAGTGGTCTGACTGGTGCAGCGGCGAGCGCGCGCGCGCGCGCGTCCCGAGAGACGTCATGCGATCTCTGGCTGAAGCTCAGGCAGCCGCAGCGCTGGGGTGCTCTGCGTGTGACCGAACGGCACGGCCGCGTCCACGTGCGGGCTGCCGGCTGGGCTGCCCACCTCGGAGAGCACAGACGACGGCCGCAGCGGTGCCGACGAGTGCTACGGCGCCGCCGGCTCGGACGACGGAGACGACAACGGCGAGGCAGACGGAGGCAACGGCGAAGTAGACGACGGCGGCGGCGGCGACACCTCATCTCGTGTACTCAAGATTCGTTGTATGGGCTCCTCTGGGGACCACCGGGCATAGCTGAGTGTTCCCTGCGGCACCGGGCATAGCTGAATCTTCCCTGCGGCACTGGTATCCAATCACTCCCGAGTTTGAAGCCAGGAGCACCGACGCAAATTTGATCACAACGCGTTAGCTCTCTCTGATGGCGAGAGCAAGAACTCGCACATCGCCGCCATCAACGTCGACGCCGTCGTGACATCGTCGGCGTAGTCCAGGCCGTTGTCGCGGGCGTCGTCGGCGGCGTCTTTGGGGCCGCCCCCGCCACGATCATGCCCAGCTTCGTCTTCCCCTGCCTGCGGGGAGGGTGCTGAGGGGGGGGGAGCGGTCCTGTCAGGCCAGGTGGCGGCATGAGGGATTAGGGAAGGAGGACGGGTCGAGGGAGAAGGGTGAGAGGGAGGGAGTTGGAGGGAGTTCGGGCATTCGGGGCGCAGGCGACGTCTGAAAGCAAACAAGCGACTGCCGACGAAAACGTTCGGCCTCAGATGCCGACTGAAACGATCTAAATACTCCCGTCTGGTCTCAGTGAGAGACAGCGGGTCGCAGACGTCGGCGAGCTTCCGAATGTGGAGATCGGCAAAAAAAAAGAGGAAGGCGGGAGAGGAGGGAGAGGGGTCGGAGGACGAGGCGGCGAAGGAGTGATGGGGAGGACGGAGGAGGGCGGCAGATCGGAGCACGGGGAGGAGATGGAGTGACGGGGCGGAGGGAGGGGGGGCCGCAGAGAAGGGAAAGGAGGAGGACGAAGCGAGACAAGGGGACGAGGAAGGGAGAGAGAAGGAGAAGGACGAGGAGGAGGAGGGCGGAGCGGGAGAATTGCGGATACTCATAAAGAAGTTGAGGAGATGGCAAGAGAAACGAAGAATCTCATATTGAGAAATGAGAACAGCGGGGGGAGATAAGCCGGACTAGCACAAGGGGGGAACGTGCTAGAAGGGCGGAGGGAACTGACTGCGGGAAAATGTGAGGAGGAAGATGGGGGCGGAGAAGGAAAATTAAGATCAGGAGGCAAGAGGAGGAGGAAGCGTATACTTCAACGGCGCCAACACAGCAGACAACTTACCAAACCGACATCGAAACCGAAACCAATCGAGACCGATCGGAAGAAAACAACGGACACGCTTGTTTGTTGTTCTGCTCTGCGTTCAAATCGACGGCGCAGCTGGACAGAGAAAGTCGTCTCCTTCCATTTTCGCTTTTCAATCTTCACCAGCGCGGGCACCCAACAGTGCTTCATGTCAAGTATGCAACGCAATCTGAGTGCCGCACTCAACGTGCTGCAATCTACAACTCACCCTGCCAGACTTGAAGTTGCCAACTCCACTGCTCGCGCAATCAGCCCACCCACCAAACCGCGCTTGAATTGCAAAACCAGTGCTGCCGCGATTGCCATGACTGCTTGGCGCTGGCTGGCGCATCGCTAAGGGCGCGCTGGTGCGCGCAGGGCTCGCGCGCAGAGCGGCAAATTAGTCTGGCGCGACCGACTCGGCCACCGTGGCGCTGAACGCTGGGCAATTCCCAGCGAGTCTTTATGGCGACGTCGGCAACGGCAGACACGAGAATGGTAGTAGCGATGCTGATGACGACGATGACAATGACAACGGCAAGGCCACTGACGGCGCCGATGCTGATCACGCCAATGAGGATGATGGTGTCTACGTCTCGGCGATGAAGGCTTTGGAAGGATTTCGACATGCGCGCGCGGCCGACGGCGAGTGGCCAGCACGGTATGATACGACAGGGGTCGTGCCCCCCCCCCCCCCCCGCAGCACGCGCACAACAGCGTTCGAGTGATTTCGACATGAACGCGCGAAAGCCCAGCTTGCTCGCAGTTGATGAAAATATTCCAATTTGCAAGAGAGCGCGCTGACCTGTTGTTATACATTGGATTGCAAGCCCGTGTATGCTTTTATGTGTGTTCGGAACGCTCGCTGTTGACTTCCTTCGGGAACTCGGGTTTTGAAAGATTTCGGCTTGCGCGCTCGACGACGCGCGCGTGCGCACTTCGTCTCGTTTTTTGCAAGGGATTGTTGCAACCTGGTGATGTTTGATGAACGAGTGCGCGTGCATTGCATTAGTAGATGAATATGGTGCGGGGGGTCGGACCCGGCTTGGAAGGGAGGGTATGAATTCATGTTTTGAATGAGCGATGGGGCAGCGTACAATGTGTAAGTTGCACATCCCCAAGGTGGATCGATAAGTCCAGGGGGGAGGCTGGTATATCCTAGTTCCTTTTTAAAAGAGGCTCCACGTGGCGCAATCTATCTGGCGCACATCAACGCAAAGAAAAGCAGAGCGACGCGACGCAATGCAGAGCAATGCAAAGCAACGCAAGTCAATGAGAAGCAAGACAAGGCAACGCGAGTCTATGCGAAGCACTGCGAAGCAGTGTGGCGTGATGCAAAGCAGCGCCACGTACGCAGTGCAGTGCGAGACGGTGCGACGCGAGGCGAAGCAGGGCGACGAAATGCGCAGCAATGCCCAGCGACCGCGCCTGCGACGGGCGGCGACGGGCGGCCGCATACCGTCCGCACAGCCACGCCGGCTCAGTTACCGGCGGCGACGGAGGCGGCGACGGGCAGCCACATGACGCCCAGAGGAGAGGGAGGAGGAGGAGGAGGAGGAGGAGGAGGAGGAGGAGGAGGGGTAGGAGGAGGAGGAGGAGGAGGAGGAGGAGGAGGAGGGGGAGGAAGAGGAGGGGGAGGAAGAGGAGGAGGAGGAGGAGGAGGAGGAGGAGGAGGAGGAGGATCCCACTCCGCCCGCGGACCCCAGAATGATCCGCGGCCGGTCCAGGATGACCGGCGGGGCCCCCCGCGCCTCGGGCGTGGCGGGCGCGCCGCGGGCTTGCTGCCGCGGCCGCGCCGCCAGGCTGTCGTGACACAAAAAAAGGTGCAGTGACGAGGCGTCCTGGCGTGCCTGAGGACCTACTAAGCGATGTTCTAAGATCCTTTTGTCGTTTCCACGAGATGCTCTCAGAACATTTCTGGCTGGGGCCGTCTTGTTTTAACGCGTCGGATCTACGTTCCAAGAACTTTGTCCTTGTTTTTAGAACACTTGTGGGTTCTAAGCACATGTCGTGGCATAGGCCTATAGGAGTGCCGGGGCGGAAGGGCTCGTCGTCGTTTCCGCCGTCGCCGTCGCTCTGTGATGACGATTGTTGTTGTTGCTGCCGTTGACCTCTCACTACTGCCAAATTCTGAGTGTTGACCCCCCCGTCCGGGACACAGGGTGTTTTGTTCAATTGTAGTGCCCCTCCCGGGGCTCGCACCTAGTCTTCTAGCACAGAAAATCTTGGGTCTCAGAATTGTGTTGTGTGCCCCTGGTTTACAACAACAGCGGCTCCCGCCTGACACGTTCTTACAGTTGATTCCCAAACGGCGCTCTCGCGAGGGACTTCCTTGGAACTGATGCTAACGCGTGGGAGTTCCTCGCAATTGATTCAGACCCCACGTCGTCGACACTCAGGAATCATGCTCTCGCTTTGGCTCATGTCACAATTTACTTGGGAATCGCGCTATCGCTCGAGACTGCCTCGCGATTCATGGAGGACGCACACTTCAGCAACCCGCCTGCTCGACCTCGCCGCCAGGGCTCGCCTTCCCGATCCGCCTGTTAGGGCCTACCCGCCCAATCTGCCCGTCTGGTTCTGCCGCGTGGTTTCTGCTCCGAGCTCCCTCCTGCTACTCTCTCTCTCTCTCGTGCTCCATTATCCTCCCTCCCCTCTTTTCATTCCTTCCATCCGTCCTCTGTTCCCCTGCCGTAGGGGCTGCATGAAATACACGTTGCACTGAAGAAAGATCTACCCCCAAGTGGGTACGATCGAAAACGAAGCGGGCGGGTATCGAGGGTTTGGGATCTATGTGCTGGATGGCACGCGAGCAGATAAGAGCGAGCAGTCTAAAAATCAGTGTTGTAGAGACTCCAACATTCACATGAAGTGAACAGTCATACTGCGAACGGCCTGCAACACTGTACCAATCAACGGCTCGACACTACATGGTCGGCTCGTCCACAACGCACAGAGAAAGCAAGTCGAATCAAACTATCACTACTCATCATGCCATCGCTTAAACGTTCATTCCCCGTGCACGTGTCGGTCTCGTGCGCGTGCTTTTGCTTTGCAGGGTGATCCAAGATGCTCCGAGATGGTCAAGATGTTTTGGCGCGGACAATGCTGAGAAAATGCACACGTTCGAGCGATGCCAAGTCACAGTTTGGCGGCGCGCACAAGGGGGTAGGAGGAGGGGGAGGGCTTCTTAGAAGTAGGGGGCTTCTTAGAAGGCACCAGCACTACATCTGTACATGAGGCCCGCGCCTTGTAAGAAGCAGGGGTGCTTCTAAGAAGCCTTCCCCACCCCAGACCCCCTTCTGCGCGTGGCCGAACTCTCCTCGGACGGGACTTTGGTTGACCCCGAAGGGGGTCCAGCTGAAAGGGGGTAGTGCACTAGGCTTGGGGCAGTTGTTTTGCACGTGTATCGCGACGGAGACATACATATGTTGCATTGGATTGCAGCTAATGCATGGCACGCGGAAATCAGGCAGTCCATTTGCGCACCGAGATGTATTGCACTCCCCAGATTTATTGTTGCAACCCCTCAAACGTATTGCACCAAATCTATTGCACCATCCCCTTGTCGCTGGACACCATTCTGGGTCAACCCGAGAGACACCCGACGAGATGGGAGCAAAAGTCGGGCAACTACAAAGCGTTGGATCCGGCAAATATCGGCGGGGGAGACGCCGCCCGCCGTGGCCTCCCGATGCCGTCTCCCCCTTTGTGCAGCCCGCGCGGCCTCCTCTGGCCTGCCGTGGCCTCCAATGTTGTGAACCAGGTCCAGGGGAACAGTCAAATGGGCCGATTCTCCACCACCGCTGCCACATGTAGGACCAGGGAGAAGGGAGGATGAGAAGGTCCTTCTCCTCCTGCTCCTCCTCTTCCTCCTCCTCCTCCTCCTCCTCCTCCTCCTTCTCCTCCTCCTCCTCCTCCTCCTCCTCCTCCTCCTTCTCCTCCTCCTCCTCCCCCTCCTCCTCCTCCCTCTCCTACCGATGGTAATGGTGGCGGGCAATGGGCCCATCACAGTCGCGTGGCCCCCTTCTGCAGGCTGGAGACTCCGTGAGCTTATGGTTCGGGCCGGGGCGGCCAACCTGTCGAGCGCGGGTGGCCAGTCGTGCAACACCCCGGCATATGCGCAAAAAAAGAAACTACCCGCTGCCCAGAGAAGTCGGGCGCGAAGAAGGGCCTCCGAGCGAGACGCAGGCGCAAGAGCCTGGAGCAGCGCACCGGCAAGCGTAATGATGCAGTCAACCACCAAGACAAGAGTGCAGGGAGAGGATGCAGGACCCCTAAACCCCCAATTAGAACACAAAAACGCCTTACACATAAACTTCTGGCTCTCTGGACCCCCTTCCCTGGCGCGCGGAGCGCGCCAGGGGCGGCGCCCGAGGCGCCGCTGGGGGAGTCTAGCGCAGATCCAAGAAACCCGCTCGGAATGCAAGAAGTTTATGTGTATAGAGTTTTTTCTTTGATTAACACCGTCACGGGCTGGCGCACTCCCTTGCCCAGCAGCGGAGAACCCAGCCCGCCGACGGGAGAGGAGCGGCGGCGTCAGGGCAGCGAGGTCAGGCCGCAGTCCTCCGTCGCCCACGCGCCAGACGAGCGCGACAGCGACCTGTCCGCCCTGGGGCGGGCGAAATCGCGCGAGTTGGCGGTGTTGGCGCGGGACACTTTCCCCGAGCCCTCCTTGGAGCGGCCGAAGGACGAGTTGGCGGTGTTGGCGCGGGAAAACGTCGCCGAAGCCGCCTTGCCCCAAAAGTTGGTGGTGTGCGGGATGAAGCCGGCGAACAGCCGGCTGACGTCCTCCCCCTGGGAAATGTCCGAGAGGTCGTCGGGGTCCTGGTTGTTCAGCCATTCGAGGAAGTTCAGCGCATAACTCGAGACAAACTCATGCGCCTGCGGGTTGAGTTTCACTTGCTCCGCGAACTTGTTGCAGTCGATGGTCAGATTATCGCTGTCCTCGGTGGCCTTCAATAGACCGCAATGCACCCAGCGCCGCGTCCAGAGGGCTGGCTCGGCGATCCAATCCTCGGCCTTTTCCACCAGCTCCTTGTGCATGCCCCCGTTGCTGTCCAGCCTAGCGTAGTTGAACTTCCCCTCCACCACGATGTACATGTGGGTCGCAGTCTCCCCAGGATGGAACAGGTAGTCACCTGCAGCGAGGAGCTTATGTCCTATGGCCACGTTGGCCAACCGGTGCACGGTGACCGTGGACTTCTTGATGAGACTGTCCAGCAGCGGGTGGATGCGCATTTGCGGCACGGCCATCTCAAACTTGAGCTCGGACAGGAGTTGCTCGGAGAGCAAAGCCACAAGCTTGACGTTCTGCCCCGTCTTCTTCCCCTTCTGCGACTGCCACGCGTGCTCCAGGTACTTCTGGATGCGCACGGACAGGGCCCGCGGCACCTTGTTCCTGGCCAGGTACCGCTTGAGGTCCCAGAAGAGCGTCGACTCTTCCGCTTGCATGCTGCGCAGCTGCCCCAAGGAGCCTGTGATGCTACCGACGATGTAGGAGAAGCCCACCAAAGCGAAGACCACCACCACCACCGTGAAGACGCGCTCCACGAAGTTCTGAGGCTGCACGTCCATCGATGCAGGGGTGAACTGTGTGATTGACCAATGGAAAGCGGTGGCATACTTATACGTCCAGTCGACATGCTCGTACTTATGAACTTTGATCCAAGTCTTATCGCCTGACTGATTGACGGACACAGTGTACCACATGCAGCAAATCAAATGATTGATCACCAGCAACATCAGTATCATCTTCACGATGTTCGCAATGACGCTGACATACTCAGAATCTATCATGTCATTGATCGTGTCGAATATTCTCCGGAGCTTGAGCAACCTTAGCAGCCGCACCATCCGAATGAGGCGCAACACTCTCAGCAGCCTGAATATGTCACCATCGTCACCAGCAGTACTGCCAGCGGCCGCCACATCAACTATCGTGAAGGCCCAGTCGGGCACCAGCACCAGCAAGTCAACTGCTAACCAAGTTCTCACGTATCGAAGAACGATCTTGCGCATCGACAGCACGACCACGCCGTGCTCAACATAGCCGACTGTTAACGAAGCGAAGACGTTCAGGGTCCAGAAACACAGGATTAACCAGTCCATGCCTTTGCTCAATGCAGTCTCGGGGGGACTGAACGTCTCCATCGGGAGTTTGAACAGGTCGTAGAAGATCAAGACCGCCCCGAGAAAATCCCAGAGCAGTCTCGCTGGGCTCCCTGGGGAGGCCGGAATAAAGGACCGCCAAGTGCACCTTATGCGGTCGCCGCGCGTTGTCGCCTCCCAGAACGAGCCGACTAGGGAGCTCTCGACGCCCGATTTGGTGACGCTGCGGAACATGCGCATGCGCGAGGCGAGGTCCATGCTACCAGCCCTGCCGCTCGCCCTGGCCGCAAGCGCCTCCTCCCCCTCGTCGCCCAGGTCCTTCCAAGCGTCCATCATCGCGAACGTCCACTTCCCGCTGGGCGCCTCGCTGAGCTGCATGCTTTCCTCGGAGGCCGACGAGGCTCGGGGACCTGCGTCCTGCGGCGCCGTCCCCCGCGGCGACGTGGACCCGTCGCTGGGAGCAGCGCCGGCCTTGAGCAGACTAGGCGCGGACTCCTGGTAGAGGAGCGAGGGGCAGCCGCTCTCATCTGAGCGGCTCGGCGGCGAGCCTGCCCCGAGCAGCCCGCCGCCGCCGGGGCCCGCCACGGGAGCCCCCCCATGGGCGGCGCAGTGCGGGAGCGGCGAGGCCGCCTCCTCCCCGCAGAGGGCCCGCAGCTGCTGGATCAGTGCGTCGCTCTCCCGGAGCTGGAACCGCATGGCCTGCACCTCAAGGTTGACCCAGAAGGGGGTCCAGCGACAAGGGGGCGGTGCAACAGATCTGGTGCGATGTATTTGTGGGGTTGCAGGACACTTGGGGCGTGCAGCACATCTCGGGGCACAGATGTATTGCTGTATCATTGCGTGCAATACGTTACTTGCAATACAGTGCAATACATCCAATTCTCCGGCGCAATACGTTCGCAATACAGTTGCCCCAAAGCCTATTGCACCACCCCCTTCCAGCTGGACCCCCTTTGGGGTCACCGCGAGCCTCCCTCCTGTGAAGCCCGGCCAGCTGCCCGAGCAGGTCGTCGAAGGCGCTGCTGGGCTGTGCCGACTGCGCCCGCACAGTGTGGGACAGCGGCCACGCCTGAGGGCTCTCCAGCAGCGGCTCGGGGAGGCTCGGGGCCTCCCCCCGCACCAGCTCCACCGACCCGGCCGAGCGCATGGCGCTGGAGGCGGGCGTCGGCGCTTCCCGGGCGTTCGGCGGCATGGTGACGCGCTGGGGCGGCGAGGGTTGACGGCTGCTGCTTGGGCGAGGGTGGCTTGCGCGAAAGCGGCCTTGAGCCAAAATGAGCCAAAATGGGGGGCGAGGAGGAGGAGGAGGAGGAGGAGGAGGAGGAGGAGGGGGAGGAGGAGGAGGGGGAGAAGGAGGAGCAGGAGGAGGAGGAGGAGGAGGAGGAGGAGGAGGAGGAGGAGGGGGAGGAGGAGGAGAGGAGGAGGAGGAGGAGGAGGAGGAGGAGGAGGAGGAGGAGGAGGAGGAGGAGGAAGGGCAACAATAGGGGGGAAAACTGGCTCAGGGGGGAAGCATCGACCCGGAATCGGCGATATTTTGCCGATGGATCAGCGATAAACCACTGTCGCTGGGCTTCAGCTGGCGGAGATGCGACTCGCAAGTGCCTTGCACTTCCTGGCAACTGCGATCCGGCTGCCGCTCCTCCAAGACCAAGCCGAGAATGGGCGATCACCTGGACCGTGAGTGTTTGAAGGTCATTTGCAGAGTGAGTCCTCGCTTGCAACGTCAATCACGATCCCACTTTGATGCTTCCGTGCACGCACCTCACTGTCACTGCACTCTTGTTAGCGGAGGCGTGTCTCGTAAATGCCTCACACGCCTTGGCACCTACATCCCAGCTGCCGCTCCCTCCAGGAGCCCGAATCGAGTGGGCCAAATCCCCTGGACCGCATTTATTGTGAAGCACAATTCTGGCATCGGCCCGAAACAGGAAGTTATCTTGTCATCTATGCTGGGTTGAAGGCGCGGGGGTGGTAGGGAGACGAAGGCAAGGTCAGAACAATTGACCTGAACATTCCTTACCCTGCGGAAGATGGCCTTAGCCAGAGACATACAGAGAGGCTTGGGGCATGGTTGGGCCGGACGGATCATGGCCGATCCCTGCAACTGATGGTGCCTCTCCTTCGTCTTAAAGCAAATACCAAGGACGCCGACACGTCGACGCCCAGGATCCAACAACTCTGAAGAAGGACCACTGCCGCAGACAAAGGTGTTGCCCTGACGCCAAGGGGTCCCGATCTGGCAGAAATCACGCGTGATGGTGAGAGCGGACGGCAGTCTCATGAGACGGATCGCTTCGGGCACTCGCCACATCTTAGACGAGGCCGGGTTCTCAAGGCTTGGGCCCGCGGGCGAGTTGAACGGAGACGGGCACTCCCAGCGGTCAGTCTGTGGTTGTCAGTCCGACTGGCCCACGGCACACCCCAGGTGTGTTCACGAAAATTCGAGCGTGGACCCTGTGGTCGAGGCCTCATACTCTCGATGATGCCTGCTGCTGCGTCGCAACAGGCAGGCGCAAGAGGCCCCGAAACGCTTGCGTTAAGTCGGGCGTGTCCCTCTATAGGGGGAATGTTCAAAAGTAGTCAAAGAAAAATATGAAGACGTGTTTTAAAAGTATTTTTGCATATCTGGAATCTGTTTTGACTATTTTTCATTTTTCGTCCAAAATCCGCCTGTAGGGGGTCATGCCCGACATAAGCATGGTGTGGCTAGAAGGCCGGAACAAGACTCAAGTTCTGCGGCAACTCTTGGGAGCCTCCCGTACCATCTTTGTTGGCCCTTGGCGATCAAAGCTAATCGCCGCTAAACGGACGCTGGATCGACGCTGATCGACGTTACATGGGCGGTATCTCATCGACTGCCAGACTCTAATCGACGGTGAGGCACTCTAACGACTGAACTTGGATGGCATGCACGGCTCCCGTTGCTTGCTACCGAAGCAAGGAGTGATGAACGAATAGCACGCACTCAAACCCATAGGGAGGAGAAGTCTGGGAGGACAAGGAGGTTGATGAGCTATAGGTATGGGTGCGGGTTGTCGCACCCATCCCACACCACCCATTGCCCACCCCCCACCAAGAATTCCACCTCGAAACATCTGTGGGTCGCATAGGTATTGGTGCTACTTGCCAGCTTAGGAAGCAGAAGCATAAAAGCGTAAGCATAAACTCTCGACGGGCCACGAGGATTTCTTGGATCTGCGCTGGGCTCCCCCTCCCCGGCGAGCCGAGCGCGACATGGTGGCGCCGGAGGCCCCGCAAGGGGGCTCCAGCGCAGATCCAGGGAATCTGGGCGGAACGCCGAAAGTTCATGTTTATGCAGCTCCTTCTTCCTCGATGAAAAAGTGACGAGGAGGAGGAGGAGGAGGAGGAGGAGGAGGAGGAGGAGGAGGAGGGGGAGGAGGAGGAGAAGAAGCAGGAGGATGAGGAAGAGGAGGAGGTGGAGGTGGAGGGGGAGGAGGGGAAGAAGAAGCAGGAGGAGGAGGAAAAGGAGGAGGAGGAGGAGGAGGAGCCTGTGAGCGGACCTCGCCGCGTCCAGCTTCTGCGGCCTGGCTCCCGGCGGGAAGCCGATGTCCTCACCGCCGCGCGGCCGCTCGCACGCGGAGGAGGCGGCCTGCGGTGAGGCCACGGCGACGATTACGACGACGAAGACGACGATGGCTTGACCACGACCACGACAACGACGACGACGATGACGACGACGACGACGACGACCATGACCACGACGACGACGACGACGACAACGACGGTGACGACGACGACGACGACGATGACGATGATCACGACCACGACACGGTGACGACGATGGTGACGACGATAGCCACGACGATGGCATACGACGGTGACGTTGGTAACCCTAATATCCAGGCATCTTGAAAAAACTTGGCGACACGCCAAGTGGGCTTGTGCGACAGGGAGGGGGGGCTCTTGAAAACTATCGGATGTTTCTGAGCTGACCGAGCCCCGCCCGCGCGGCATGACGACGACTCGCGCCGACCAAGAGCCGAGTCGCCTTGCTCTCTGATCCGCAACCGCGGGGGGCTGCGCGAGTGGCACCGAGACCCTGCCCCCGAGTTGCGGCCAAGAGTCGAGGCGCGTGGGTCGCCGCGGGCTCGAATCACGAGGCGGGTCGTTGGTGGGCCGCCGGACGGGCTGCGTGTGGGTCGCGAGGCAGGTCCCGAAGTAATGTGCCCTCAGGTTTCTTGCGGATTGCCGGGGCGCCTCCCAGGAAAAAAAGACAACTGCATTGATGGGGCATCGCTACATTCGTTGCCGCCCTTTGCGGTCGAAGTGACGTGTCCAGCGCTCCTCGCCCTGCCTCGGGCGAGCTCTTCAACTCGTCTTGCCATGCCTCCGCCGCCCTACGCCTCATCCCTCCTCGCCTGCAGAGCTGGCCATAGCTCGGCTCACTTTGGTTGCCCGCGTCTGGGCAGTTCGAGCGCAACTGCCCGGTTTGTAGTACAACCACTCCACCTGCATCACCTCAGCAAGACTTGCAAGACTTGACGTCGGCCCCTGTTGAACTTACTTATTTTGGCCCGTCGCTTGCACAATGCACTGCCTGAGGCTGTTCCTACAGCGCCGCGTTCCCTCAAGCGGGTAGGCATGTAAGACGTATATGCTACATACATGCACATGTATATATATATATATATGGGCAACCCTCCCAACACCCATTCTTATCAGCATTCACTTTCGACGGTGGTGTTCTTCCTGTCCTCCTCCTCCCCCTCGTCTTTCTCTCTCTCTCTCTCTCGTCTTTCTCATGGTAGTGTCTCTCTCTCTCTCTCTCTCTTTCTCTCTGTATCTCTCTGTGTGTCTCTCTCTATATATCTCTGTCCCAGCCTCTCCCTCTCTCTCTCTCTCTCTCTCTCTCTCTCTCCCTTCATATATATTCCTCTTCCTATGTTTTTATAAGCCCGGGCGGGGGGAAAACCCATCCCCCCCCAAAAAACCGGACTCCCGGGATCTGGGCCTTTGGGACCTTCCAGACGGGCCTCGAAGCGGCCCCCGGGCCTCACATGGCGCTTTGCCAAGCCTTCCCAGAACACCTAGGGCGATCAGGGGGGTCATCGGAGACGTCCCAGAGACCCCCAAGACAGCACAAGAGCGCTCCAAGAGTGACCGACGTGACCTCAAGATGGCCCAAGAGGCCTCCAGGACGGCCCCAAAGAGGCCTCCAAGAGCACTCCCAAGAAGGCCCCCCGAGGCAAAAATCATTGATTTTCTATTGGTTTTTGGTGAATTTTAGGGTTCCTCCTCTTTTCGGCTTCCCGACGCTCCAAGACGGCGGTCTTCTGGGCGTCCGAAGCCGCCTGGGAGGCTCCACAATCGCCCCACAACCATCCGAAAGGGCTTCCAGGCAGTCCAAGAGAGCCCCAAAACGGCACAACACGGGTCCAAGATGGCCCTCAGAGAGCCCCATGGCGGCCCAAGATGGCCCAAAGACACCCTCCGAAGAATTCCAAATCGTGATTCGGTCGTTCAGGGAGACCGCGGTTGGAGGCAGGGTGGCCCGAGGAAGCCCCCGGAGGCCCGCAGAATACGTCCAGGAGGTCTCCAGAAGGCTTTAAGAACGCCTGAAACAACTTTTGTGAGGCCCCTAGAGGCTCTCCAAGGAGGAGCCTCCGCAAAAAAGAGCTGAGGAGGATGGGGAGAATGCGCAGGGCATGGCGAAAATAAGGAAACAGAAACATGGAGGAAGGATAACGAATAACATTATTATAGCGGCGATGCCAGAAAAGGCAGCCAGGAGTTATCGCTAAATTGTCGGCTTGACCTGCCTGCTTTTCCGCCAGCATACCAAGCTTCACGGACCAAGGTGCATGGCGCGAAGCGCCACTGCAGTCTTGCATACACATATATATATATATTCATCTCTCTCTTTCGTTTCTCTCTCTCTCTCTGTCTCTAACTCTCTCTCTCTCTCTCTCTCTTTCTGTCCCTCATTTCTCACAGGTTGGGGAAACCATGTGCTGTCATGTGGTTGCTGGTGGATTGTTGGGGTTCTGGGGGATGGATGTCCCGGGAAAGTTCCCGGGCTTGATTTCCGCTGGAGGGAGGAAACGCACCAACATGGTTTCCTCATTTCTCATCCCAGGAATCCCAAATTTCCAAATGAAAGCAAGCAGACAGACAGAGAGAGAGGGGGGCATATCCCAGATACAGCTGATTCTAACTCGATCCCCATTGAAATTTCATTTAACAGTAACTGGAATTGGGCGCATCCCAGATTCATCTGAGTCCAATTGGGACCTATACTGGAATCTAATTAGACTC